AAGAATATGTAAGTGCATGTTGAAATAAACTTGTACGCGCTTTAAGACACAAAATGGGTGAAAAAGTATCAGTAACGTAAAAGCGAATTTTACAAAATGTGTTTTTTGTTGTTTTATACCTATTAGCGAAATAATAAATATATGTAAATATAAGCATACAAAAATTGATTTTTTCATATTATATATAATACCATGGAAAATCGAGATGAAACAAAATGTTAACTGGTGTCTTACGTACAATAGTCATTTAAATGTTCTGGAAATCTTACTCTTCTTCCAGAACGCGTTGTTTTAAGTTTATTTTCAGATACTGTCGAAGTACCATCGAGCTTGTTGGTTGTCGAATGAGGTATTATAAGTGTCGGAGTCGTGTCGTTCGATCGTACCGAAGGAAAATCGACGTAGATACGATTTCCCTCTAAATACGGTGCTTTGGGGCAATCGATGCTGATGCTATCGTTGGTTCCGTTCTTGTCGATTATAATGTACTTAGGTTCACGTTGAAAAGCTTTGGAAGGTCCTTTGTATGCTGATTCGAAAGGTTGTCGATGCGAGTCTCGACGTACGAAGACGTGTGTACTATATCGTAAGTCAAGTTGAACGAAAACATCAGTCGATTGAGGTCGAGTGGAAACAGGTTTAACTGAACGCATTGCGTTTGTAAGCCTGTTCGTGTAGGAGGTTAGATTCGTGCTCATTGAAAAGGGTGAAGGATCCACGAATTCTCCTGTAAGTCGAAGTGTCGTCCCATAAACGAGTTGAGCCGCAGTGTATCCAGTGTCAGCTTTCACTGCATTGCAAATACCTATTAAGACGAGTGGAAAAGCGTCGGTCCCCTGTGAAACGTTTGCAGCTGATAATGAAGCTTTTAGTTGTCGGTGAATGCGTTCTACCAACCCGTTTGCTTGTGGGTGGTAGGCCGTCGTTCGGAAGCGAGTGATTCCTAAAAGTGTGGTTAGACGATGGAAAAGTTCAGATGCGAACTGACGCCCTCGGTCTGTAGTGATGTTTGAAGGGCAGCCGAAATTTGCTACCCATCGTTCGATGAAGGTGCGAGCCACTGTAAGAGGAAGAGCTTAAAGAGAAGGTAAGCAGTTTATGGTCAATGAAAAGGGGAAATTCACGGTTTTTGATAAAGTGTTGAAAATGTCGTACAGCACAATACATAGCTAGGAGTTCCCTGTCGAATGTGCTGCACCTCGATTCGGTGTCTAGCAATCGTCTAGAGAAAAATGCCAAAGGTTGCCAGGAGTTGTTAACCCATTGTTGTAAGACTCCTCCGATTGCTGAGTCGGATGCGTCTACTGAGATGCTAATGGGTGTTTCAGTGTCCTGATGGGCAGGCATTGTTGCTTTAGCAATCAGTTCCTTAACTGTGGAGAATGCTATTCGTACGGTGTCGTCCAAATTAATGGATTTCGCATTTCCACGAAGTTGGTCGATAAGAGGTTTCACCAGTAATGCGCATTTGGGTATGAAACGTCTATAGAAACTTACGAGGCCGTTAAACGTGCGTAATTGCTTGACGGTGGTCGGTTCTGGGTAATCCGTAATGACCGCCACTTTGGTTCTAAGGGGTCGGATTCCTTGAACATCGATAGTGTGTCCCAGGAAATCTAACGAGTCGGTCCCGAATTGGCATTTCCGTATGTTTACCGTTATGTCATGTTTTTGTAGTCGTTAGAAAACAAGATCCAGATACTTGAGATGTGATTCTCTGTCCGAACTTGCGTCTAGGCAGTCGTCAACATACGCATGTACGAAGTTGGGACTTCGAAAAACGTCGTCTATGAATCTTTGGAATGTTTGAGCAGCGTTCCTTAAACCGAAAAGCATTCGCGAAAATTCATAGAGTCCGAAGGGAGTAATGACGGCGGTTTTCGGTATGTCGTCTGTGGCCATGGGGATTTGGTTATACGCTTTAACTAAGTCGATTTTCGAAAAAACAGTTGTACCTTTCAAGGTAGCTGTCAAATCGTGAATGTGAGGCAACGGGTAACGATCGGGAATGATTTTTGCATTCAATCGCCGATAGTCGCCAGTTGGACGCCAATCGTTGCTGTCCTTTTTAGGGACCATGTGCAACGGAGATGCATATGGGCTATTTGACGGTCGTATGATTCCTGAGTCTATCATGTGGTCGAACTAGTTTTTCACCAACCTTAGCTTTTCAGGGGCTAGTCGTCGTGCTTTAGAGAATACAGGTGGTCCTGTAGTCGTGATGTGATGTGTAACGTTGCTGGTTACACACGGTAGTTTTGGTTGCGTTTGCTGAATCCCAGGAGACTTATCGAGTAGTGGTTGATAAAGTGGGTCTATCGTATGCTTAATTGCGACTGGAGATAATCTGCAACCAGAAAAAGAAGTTACGCAAACGGATAAATTAGTGTTTCCGTCTAATAGCCTCCGTTTGCGAGTGTCGATGATTAGATTATGGTGTTGTAGATGGTCTATACCAATGATTGGCATAGAAAAATCTGCAACAACGAAGACCCAGTGAATGGGTTTCTGTAAAACCACGTTAAGGTAAACGTACTTTTTGTCATATTTAGCGATAGGCTTTCCGTTTGCCGCCTCAGCACGCGGTTGAGGCTCCACCCGTCGACCCTTTCAAAAGGAAGTCGGGTCAACTGAGAGACCACCATCGCCAGGGCTAACACAAGCCATCAAGCCTCCTGTCCTTTCAAAACTGAAACTGAAACTTGTGACTAAGATATTGTGTAGTGGAATCTAGACAATACGAAGTTAGGACCAAGAACAAAGGCAAGTTGGAGCTGACCATTCCACTTGTGGACTGTCTAAACGATAAAAAAAACGTGTAAAGGACAGGGCCTACCACCTCGGCAAACCTCATATAGGTGGGCTACCTGTCCATTCACATAAGGTTCATACAGAAAAACAGGACGAAGCTCACGCGTTCCAAATCGAAAGCATAAACTGCTTATATATGAACGCCGCGAGTCTACCAAACAAACTGGATGAACTACGTGAACTTAGCAACGCTAATAAGGCCCATCTGATAGGAATATCTGAAACCTGGATATCTTCTCAGTTCTCGGACCAAGAGTTAGCATTACCTGGGATGACTTTGTTCCGCAACGACAGAAAAACAGGAATTGGGGGCGGAGCAGCCATATACATAAGCTCTTGCTTGGAGGTGCACCAGATTCACAACCTCGAGTTTAACAATCTTGAGGAATCCATATGGTGCTCTGTAAGATTGTCTAGTACTTCCAGGTGTCTAGTCGGAGTCATATACAGGAAGCCAACTGCCGACACCGAGTACGATAGTCGTATGCTGGAAGGACTATCCCGCTCTACCCGTCTCGGTTTCACACACATCCTGATTCTAGGGGACTTTAATCTCCCTAGAGTCAACTTCGCGGAACACACGTACACTGGAGGCGACAACTCAACTGAAGCTCGGTTCTTCAACCTCATCGATAACTTGGGCTTATATGAAAATGTGAGGTCGGCAACTCGTTGGAGAAACAGTCAGACATCATCGCGCTTAGACTGTGTATTCACTAACGAAGAATTCCTAGTCGACAACCTTCAAGTTATCGGCCGGTGGCTCTTCTGTCATTACCTTCAAAACTCATGGAGTCCCTGATATGCGACGGTTTAAATGACTATCTACTGTCCTTAAATTTCTTCTCACCCCAACAGCATGGTTTCAGGAAGAGTTACTCTTGTATAACCAACCTGCTGACTGCGGTGGACAGATGGATAAGCATCCTCGATTGCAAGGGAAAGGTTGATGTCATTTACCTTGATTTCTCAAAAGCTTTTGATAAGGTTATCCACTTGTGTCTTATCAACAAGCTCAAACTACTAGGTATCAAACCACCTCTAATCGATTGGCTTACTTCATACCTGAAAAATCGACACTTTAAGGTTAGGGTTAATTCCACTTTATCTCAGGCTATGGAATGTCCTAGTGGGGTCCCCCAGGACTCAGTACTAGGGCCTCTTCTCTTCTTGATCTACATAAATGATCTTCCTCAACAGGTAACGTCAGACTTATTACTTTTTGCCGACGACGTGAAACTTTGGAGAGAGATACGCAACCAAGACGATATACAGGCACTTCAAGAGGATCTGACTCGACTTCAAAGTTGGGCAGACGATAACGGACTTACCTTTAACACTTCTAAGTGTAAAGTAGTCCATCTGCGACATGTCGCAAACTACAGTTACAACTTAGGAAACTCCTCTCTAGTAGTATCCCAAGTCGAAGAAGATTTGGGAGTCCTGATGCCCCATGATTTGAAGTCTTACGCTAACTGTGACAAAAATGCCTTCCGAGCAAACCTTGCACTGGTAACGTTGAGGCGCATTTTTGGCCAGTTTGACGGAAGAACTTTCCATATAATCTTCAATAGTTTCATCCGTCCGCATTTAGAGTACGGAAACATAGTACTCCCCCCCTCACTCCAAAAGGACAAGGTCACTTTGGAGCGTATCCAACGGCGAGCCACGAAATCAGTTCGAGGACTCAAATCTAAGCCTTACGAAGAACGCCTCCGTTCACTAGACCTTTACCCATTAGAATATGGGCGTCTTAGAGGTGATTTATTAATGGCTTATAGTATTCTTAACACTTCTGGACATCCTCTTAAACACCTACTTAAGCTTAGTTCGAATAATAACCTAAGGGGTAACACCCAGAAACTGGAAACACAACATAGCAAGACGGAATGTAGACACAACTTCTACTCCTTAAGAGTTGTCAAAAGCTGGAATTCGCTGCCGGCCGAGCTAGTCCAAGCGACTTCTTAGGAGTCCTTCAAGAGGCAACTTGACCTATTCTTAAGGACCAAGGACAGCATCACACTATGATTTACCAATTTCTTTTCCTCTTTTATTGTTAACATACCTAGGTTCCTGCCTGGAGGATTTCGTGATCCCCTGCTACTAGACACGGAAGCCTGTTAAGCGAAAGCTTCTTCTATTCCGTCCACAACCATTTGAACCATTTGATTTCGTCAAGGACATTTGGTGACCTTTCGCGACTGGTGACTTGTGGTGGCTATAAAATCTCTTTTTTGCACTAAGTTTTATTCCTTTCCTAGTGATTTAACTATCGAGCTTTCTACAAAAAATGTTCCGAATTTCCCTTTTTTAATTTTTTTTTGCACTTTTTAAAAAATAAGTTTTGGAAAGATATCTTGCCATATGTAACGACATAGAACTGCACATATAACATGAAAGACGTTTTATTTAAAAATGTGTCTCTGGATGATGTTTTTTGTCCTAATATCTCGTTGAAAATCTTATTCTGCGCTTAGGTTTATGTTGAGTTCATCGTTAATTCGCATAAGAGTTGTGCTTTCATAAGACGACATCTACTCTTTTGTCTTAAAATAGGCTTTATGTCATCTGAAGTCTGCTAACTACACATCTGTGACCTTAACCCAACTAATTTAAGTCAATGCACATGAAAAGTCTTATCAACACAATCGAGGTCGGCAATGTATGTACCTATTTGTGTTGAGTTTTGTCTTTTTCCGCAGGTGAATTACGTTCAGTTTTATATTCTGAATTTATGTACTTTAAGCCTTATTTTTACTTTAGCGTTATTTTATTTGATCATTTTAAAGTCGGGCAATGCCAGGCTTCCCCTTTTTTCCAGAAAATAGTTCTTCACCTTTGCTTATTTCTAATCTTCTATTCAGTCAAGCCCAAGTCCTCTTTCGTTAAAGCATAATGGCATTCAATCAATTGATTATTTCAACTATTTATTTAAACACATCAACGTTTGCAAAAGAAGGTACTAAATAATTATTCACCACACCCCATCATCTGATTTGTGAGGGCCGGAATACTGCCTGGGAACCGAAACCAAGTTGGGTGGTAATTTTCTGGGGGCCATACCCCGAACGTTTGACCTAGTAATTTAATCCACAAGGCAGTGAGGCAACGTTAAGATATGTGTTCCCATGGTAGCTTTTCATCCTCACAATCTCATAAACATCCCCGCGGCTATAAGGCAATCAGTAGGAGTTCCCTTGCAATAGTTATATTCGTGTGGCTATGTGAGAATTTTTAAAAGGGAGAGCGGACTCTCCTTGCTCTCGACTATATCAAGGAATTTTCGATCCCATTAATTGGGATACAGTTATGTACAGTTTTACAGTTCATATAATACGACCATTATTCTGTATCGTCATTAAGTGTCCATGTCACACATAGCCTTGTCAACTTCGTCTTTTACAGCTTATCGTTAGAACTTCAGTATTGTCGTTGTAGTGTAAGTTAGTTTTAAGCACTGGATTACCACTCAGTGCACTGTTTATAGGATTTACTATTGTTGTAACCACATATTTTCTATTCATGGCATTACACATAGGTTAAGTAGTTTGTCAAATAAATAGGATTATTCCTCATGATTATATCGCAATAGAGATTTCTCCAAAACAAATTTAATTCTAATTGCAGTGGTGAAACGAGAGAAATAAGACAAATTCAGAATACTGCGTTGTTCAGAAAGTGATTTTTCAATGAAAGGATACATGCATCAATTTGGTATCCTTAAGTTACTTGATATTGATTCAAAACATTTCTTGAACCTACACTAGAACGTATACAATCCCGTTTCGAAGCATATATTAACGATTTATGACGTCACAAAATAATTACTTTCCTTGACTTTTAAAAGATTTCCATCCTACCTTAACAATGATCCATTTTCAAGGTGGACACTGGATGAGGTTTCAGGATGTTTCGGTTTCTTTATTCCATATTTGGTCACAACTTTATCGGTGTACTTACAATGACTTTTGCCTAATATTGGCTGTATTTAATATTTATTATCATATAAGTAGTACTTTCGTGTTATTAACCTAGTCTCTGATTTCTTGTTGCAATTGATATACTATGCATTCTTATGTCATAATAATCACCCATTAATAAACATTTCAGTATTATCGTATTCACCTTAATTCAAATAACATTAAGTCTGCTAATAGTGTTTTTTAGTAACCGTTTCGAGATTTAAATAACTACCAATTCACAAAAGTCTGATGCTATTTAAACAAACGTAGTGACCGGCAGTATCGTATATCCAACTAAATTATGTTTAGTATTTACACCTTAGGTTCTGATAAGTTAATTTCTTTTTATTTATTTAAAATAGACAATGTAAAGTAAGCTGCTTTTCATATATGACTAGTTTCATATTTTCAGATGCAATTGTACAACAATAAAGAAAAATATTTCAAATACATTGAAAAACATTCAACTGTTTTCGGTTTTCTTCTATATCTGATTGGACTGATATGGTTTTGTCTTTTGTCTCAAGACGAGCTCAACTATAAAACTTATATGAGCGAGAATGCCCTACTTATTGGTATGTTCATTAATCATGTAGAAAGATTTCTTCGTAGGTCAAGTGAATGAAATCTTTGATGATGTTTCTTCCTCTGTTGAATTTTATGAAGAATCTAAGAAGGCATTTAAATCTAATGAGATGTAAGTAACAAATTAATGTATTTGTAGATAAAAAATATTCAGTATTGGTTTAAAACAATGGTTATCTATACAGCTTAGCACAATCGGTCTAGAAGTTTATTCACAGAATTTCAGTTTCTCTCATGATATACTTTCGCCCTTAAAGGTATGGCAATTTTTTCCATATAATGCTATAAAATTTTTCTAATACAGTCAATTAATGGATCGAATTTATACGGCATTATGAGGTCACCAAGTGGTGGTCGAACTGAAGCACTTGTGATTATTACGTCATTAGGTGATAATCCAACTTATTTTGGAAGTCTTGCTTATGTTTTATCCCTGAGTAAACTGTTCAGAAGTAATTAACATTTCGAAAGTATATGATTTAACAACTTTTCAAATTTACAGATCAAATACACTGGGCTAAAGATATAATCTTCCTGTTTCCGGAATATGAATATATTGGTTTGATGGCATGGCTTGAAGCTTACCATGGGACCATAAATTCAGACAGCAAGTTTACTTTTAAAAGTTATCCTTGCAATGTTTTATTATTAAAGCAGTTTGCTTTTAAGTTTCATACCTGGGCACTTTTGCCCTGAGTTATTAGTTCACTTCGGCCAGTTGTAATCACAAACTCAGTTTATTCGCTCTGCTTAAGAAAGTTCATACTAAATATTAATAAAGTGATGATATCCTTATACCTAAAGATTGCTTCAACTTAATTAAATGCTTAAAGTGCTTTCATGTCACTTAGGCTAGATGATTATATCTTAACACCATAAAAAAAACAAAATGTACTATTAAACAGTAAATTTAACCACTGGCGAATATTTTATCATTTCATCAACATTTGGTAAATAAATGTTGAATGAGCTTCATGCATTCGTGCTAATACTTCTGTAGTTACCTACTATTCAGATACTAATGTAGGCAAGTGAGGTGGCCAGTCACAATCAGCATAGGTAAGTCACTTAGCCATAAGAACATTAAAGACGTCGGAAGCATTGATCATGGAAAGTTGCCACACCGCATTAGCACAAGTAGATGAAACTTTCGAAGTGAGTACCAAAGTGTTAGTGGTGTTAATAATGAAGAAGAATAGGCTTAAATAAAATGGTTGGAGAATGAACTTACGGAATAAAATGTAGGAAATAATTTTAAAACTAGGTGTTTAGGGCTAGACAAGAAATGAATGCATCAGTACGGGTTTTGAGCCATGTGTCTCAAACCACTGGCCAAAATAATCACACGGACCCCAACTACGTGAAACCAGTATACCCACTCATTTCTATCTTATGGAATAAATTGCACGCTTTTTTGACCCAGTTATACAACGAAGGAGGATTTTGTGGGACAAGTTTTCAATTGTTAAAATGAATGCGAATACTGATCAATAGATGATAAACAACTGCACAAAGTGTAGTTTAGTGGTGGCTACTCATGAGAACTAATTGTCAATTTAAGCTCCCAAATGATTCGAGGTTGAAAACAAGACTACTAGCCAGGAAAACAGGGTTTTGTCCGATAAAATGATAGGTATATACATACATTTTTATGCAAAAAGTAATATAATAACTCGTTATAACCTGTTGGGTGAAGTCAGTTTGTAGGTCTCTCACTACCCAATCAATTAAGATCTAACTGTTTGGCCTAATTCTTGTCCATTGTACCAATTATCCCAAATAATATGTATAAAAGCATGTAATCGCAAGTTCTCCGATTGATCTGAGAATGCAATTCATTAGAGTTTTGCCGAACAAGATTAGGTCATTTTTTAACTAAGTCAGTTGATAGGTCTTTAGGACAAGTACCCCTCTAATAAAGACTCAAAGGTAGAATTTAATTGGTGGACTAAGGAATTTTAGGGGAATCCTCAGGTAATACTGTCTGTTTACGAACCGCTAAGTGATCCAAAGCTAACTTATTAAATTTATTGAAGTTATTTACTGATACTAGAAAACGGAGTTTTTAACATCCTCAGAAAAACAGATTTAAGGACTTCAATTTACTACATTCTACAAAATATAACAATGACTTCAAATGTTGTTCTTCTTTTTCATACAGATCTCTTCTGGTCAGAACTTGAGGGTAGAAGTGGTAGTATTCAAGCTGGTTTAAGTTTGGAATTCCCTAATTTGTACCAGTCAGCAATTGATATATTGCCTGAAGGTCCTAATGGTTTATTAGCTAATTTGGACTTAGTAAACACTGTTGTTCGACTAGCTGAAGCCCATTATGTGGTAACACGTGTTAATAGTCAGGTAAGACACGTTAGAAGTAGTTTTCCCATGTAGTTACTCTTCGATAAGCAGTTCTTTCAATTTCAGTTTCTTGAATGTCGAGATTAGGCACAAGTACTAGGTAAAAATGGTAAATCGATTGACGATGTAGGGAATTTTCACCAACTAAGGTTTTTGGGATTTGTCCTGTGTATGCCGAACCACCTTCTACCTCGACGGACGTTGTTGTCTGGTGTAGGAGTAGGTTGGAAGAAAGCTAGGGGCGGGAAAACCAATATGTGGCAGCAGTTCATGAAGTCAGTGACAACTAGACTGATCTATGTTATTAAGTGTAGACTAACTGGTTGGAGTCTGTGTGACCATTGTTAATTACTGACTGGATGCTTTGAGTGGCATGGCTCAGAATCGTTCGCGATGGTGCATGTGCATTCAGTCTTAGTCTCTCTTTAGAACGTAGGTCCTGAAATCTCACTATACCTCTTTTTCTTTTTCGATATCTAATCGTTTCTAATACTATTAATACCGTTATTTCTTCTACTACTCTGGTATTTGTCTTAAAATAATTTCACCTCGTTGTGCTATGGTGGCGTAATATAGCGACTTAAACCGATGAAATATATGTCAGGTTCTACGTTGTGTATGTCTGAGTGACTGAAACAGTATGAATAATCGAATTGCATTATATAAAGTGAACAACTTTGGGTTTCTGTGACCTTCATTTTCATTTGTTTTCTTCGTTTGGGAATTATTATTCATCCATCTCTAAGTGTGAAATTCATTTTCAACTTTCACCTCTGATGGGTTACTTAGATACTGTGCTATACTACTAATAAGGCTCGGAATCAATTTTCAACATTCTAACCATACCCGTCGCTCAGGTTCGTGATTACGCATGAATCTGAAATCGGCTATTTTAAGGCAAAATAACTATACAAGTAACTCTGACGTCTAGCGAATTTCACTAACAAAGATTTCTTATCGTTATTCACTAGTCATCTGTCGGTACTAAATTATCTGATGCAAAATGATATTGTCTACAGTAATTGTACTGAATGTAGCAAATGATATCATTTATTCATCGTTATTGTTAACGCAGTTCTGTTTATCATGGTAAATAATTGATAAACACAGCACATATGGGATGGAAACTATGGTGCTGAGAATGGTTGGTAAGGACTAAAAACAGTACTAAACACAGCAAGAACAATTATCCTCGGGATAATTGACTAAAGGCAGGTTGCGATAGAGGAATTACGGGAGAAAAAATGATTACGAAACCTAGTAATCAAAATGAGGCAAATTAGAATATTCGTGTAGTAAGTTGTAGGCCGAAGATTTAACAATAAGAAGAATTATTCAGTGCAAAATAGACAACGAAAACGATACAAAGGAAGTACATACAAAAAAGTTGAATAAGGTTATTACAACAGGACATCAAGTCGCTCAAATAGCATCTTCCTCGTAACTGGTTAGAACACCCATCCAAAACAAAACTCAATGGATATGCTTGGTGTGAACCCAAGACAATTGAAAACAGAGGCCAAATATGCAAATGTATGAAGGTAAGCTTTAAAAAAGTGTTTGGAGTTACAAACGAAATGAAAAGATATTACAGAAAAGGTGCAAGGATGATTGTGAATTACGGGATAAGAAAGCGCACGATAGAAACAACTATTGTACCCCGTTAGTTGTCCTGTATCATTAATGAATGTCTTTAGAAAAGCTATTGGGGTTTACTAACACCAAGAGGGATGGAAAGGGCATATAATAATAAATATAAGCGCCCACCTATAACTAATTGACTAAAATCTTTTTTCTATATTATTTTTTTAGTGTTTTTCTGTTATATTTTATTAAGTAATCTCTGTTCTAAATTAAACGGTTATATTTTGATGATCAACCCCATCTATACAATATTTTCGTGTCTTTGATTTCCTCATTTTTTTATACTCGCTTTTTTTAGCCTTATGATTATAGACGGGTTACATTTGGAACTAGAATAAATGATATGATGGGGCTAATAAAGGCAGTTTGGAATCAAGGATCAAATTCTCCAACTGGTTTACATGGTCCTCTAATTAATTATCAAATTCCTGCTATTACATTACGGGCAGAACAGAAACACCGATCCACAGTTCCACGTAGTTCAGAAGTTCTTTCAGTTACAAGGTAATAATATATGTTTCATACTGTTGGTTTCGTTTATAAAGTAAACAATAACAATATTTCCAGAATATAATAAGTTCATGTTATAGTTCGTTACTTTCAATCTCTAACTACATACAAGCTGATAAGTTTGTTTATTGCTAAATATTAATATCATGTTGATGTTAAAGATTTCAATTGTCCATTCATAAGGAATAAATTGTTTGGAATGTAAACAATATTAATAAGATTTTCCACAATAATTGTTTAGAATAAATAATATATTTGTAATATCCCAGTGAACTCCGCCTGGAGTCCCTCCGGGGGCTACTGCCGGTCCCAAGCCCGGATAAAGGAGGAGGGTTGGGCATGGGGTTAGCGTCCCCATCCCGTAGAAAACTAACTCGCTAAAAAAACGCTAACCATAAAAAATTATTCAAACCATTTAAACTCTGCCCTGGGAGTCAGAAGATCTTCATTTAGAAGAATTATGACGCCTCATGATGAAAGCCGAATTTCTTCGGAAGTTACGAGGCCGATGCCCCTTCTGACAACCAGAGCGACCATTTATTTAGGTACATGGAATGTTCGTACAATGTGGGACACCGGAAGAGCCTTCCAGATTGCTGCAGAAATGAGAAGATACAATCTAGAGGTACTTGGGATCAGTGAAACACATTGGACACAAGTTGGACAACAACGACTAACTACAGGAGAGCTCCTGTTATACTCCGGCCATGAAGAAGAAAATGCTCCACATACACAAGAAGTTGCATTGATGCTGTCCAAACAAGCGCAAAATGCACTTATAGGATGGGAATCTCATGGACCAAGGATCATCAAAGCCTCGTTTAAAACAAAGAAAGAGGGCATTTCAATGAACATCATCCAATGCTATGCGCCTACCAACGACTACAATGAAGACGCGAAAGATCAATTCTACAATAGGCTGCAGTCAATAGTCGAGAAGTGCCCAACAAAGGACTTGACCATTCTGATGGGAGATTTCAACGCCAAGGTTGGAACGGACAACACTGGATATGAAGACATCATGGGACGACACGGACTGGGAGAAAGAAACGAAAATGGTGAGAGATTTGCAAATCTATGTGCCTTCAATAAGCTGGTCATAGGCGGCACCATATTCCCACATAAACGCATACACAAAACCACATGGACTTCACCCGATCACTCTACACAAAACCAAATCGACCATATTTGCATCAACAAAACGTTCAGGAGGACTATAGAGGACGTGAGAACCAAGAGAGGAGCTGATATAGCATCAGATCATCACTTACTGGTCGCCAAGATGAAATTGAAACTCAAGAAGCACTGGACAACGGGGCAGACAGTATCACAAAAGTTCAATACGGCATTTCTCCAGGATACTAATAAACTCAACGAATTCAAGATAGTCCTCAGCAACAAGTTCCAGGCCTTTCATGATCTACTCAATGGAGAAGGAACTACTGTGGAGAGCAACTGGAAGGGGATCAAAGAGGCAATCACTTCAACATGTCATGAGGTCCTGGGTCACAAGAAGCACCACCACAAGGAATGGATCACTGTTGGTACACTGGATAAGATTCAAGAAAGAAGGAACAAGAAGGCAGCAATCAATACCAGTCGAACAAGAGCAGAAAAAGCCAAGGCACAAGCCGAATACACGGAAATAAACAAACAAGTGAAGAGGAGCATCAGAACCGACAAACGTAACTATGTGGAAGATTTAGCAACGACGGCGGAAAAGGCTGCAAGAGAAGGAAACATGAGAGAACTGTATGACACGACAAAGAAACTCTCTGGAAATCGCCGCAAACCAGAACGACCAGTGAAAAGCAAGGAAGGCGAGGTAATCACCAACATTGAAGAGCAACATAACAGGTGGGTAGAACACTTCAAAGAACTGTTGAATCGACCAGCTCCACTGAACCGACCCAACATCGAAGCAGCACCCACGGACCTCCCAATCAATGTTGGCCCACCAACAATTGAAGAAATCAGCATGGCCATCAGACAAATCAAGAGTGGCAAAGCAGCAGGACCGGACAACATCCCAGCAGAGGCACTAAAAGCAGACGTAGCGGCAACTGCACGGATACTCCACATTCTCTTCAATAAGATTTGGGATGAGGAACAAGTACCGACAGACTGGAAAGAAGGACTACTGATCAAAATACCGAAGAAAGGCGATCTCAGCAAGTGTGATAACTACAGGGGCATCACTCTTCTCTCAATACCGGGTAAAGTCTTCAACAGAGTATTGTTAAACAGGATGAAGGACTGCGTAGACGCCCAACTTCGTGACCAACAGGCAGGATTCCGTAAGGATAGATCGTGTACAGACCAAATCGCAACTCTACGAATCATTGTGGAACAATCAATTGAATGGAATTCATCACTCTACATCAACTTCATTGACTACGAAAAGGCATTTGATAGCGTGGACAGAACAACACTATGGAAACTTCTTCGACACTACGGCGTGCCTCAGAAGATAGTCAATATCATACAGAACTCATATGATGGATTACACTGCAAAATCGTGCATGGAGGACAGTTGACAAAGTCGTTCAAAGTGAAGACCGGTGTTAGGCAAGGTTGCTTACTCTCACCCTTTCTCTTTCTCCTGGTGATCGACTAGATCATGAAGACGTCAACGTCTGAAGGAAAGCGCGGGATACAATGGACATCTAAGATGCAGTTGGATGATCTAGACTTCGCAGACGATCTGGCCCTTCTATCCCAAACGCAACAACAGATGCAGGAGAAGACGAACAGTGTGGCAGCAGCCTCAGCAGCAATAGGTCTCAATATACACAAAGGGAAAAGCAGGATTCTCCGATACAACACAGAATGCACCAATCCAATCACAATTGACGGAGAAGATTTGGAAGATGTAAAAACCTTTACGCATTTGGGCAGCATCATTGATGAACAGGGTGGATCTGATGCAGATGTGAGGGCGCGGATCGGCAAAGCAAGAGCAGCATATTTACAACTGAGGAACATCTGTAACTCAAAGCAACTGTCAACCAACACCAAGGTCAGGATTTTCAATACAAATGTCAAGACAGTTCTACTGTATGGGGCAGAAACCTGGAGAACTACAAAAGCCATCATCCAGAAAATACAGGTGTTTATCAACAATTGTCTACGCAAAATACTTCAGATCCATTGGCCGGACACTATTAGCAACGACCAACTGTGGGAGAGAACAAACCAGATCCCAGCGGAGGAAGAAATCAGGAAGAAGCGCTGGAAGTGGATAGGACACACATTGAGGAAAGCACCCAACTGCGTCACAAGACAAGCCCCCACATGGAATCTTGAAGGTCAAAGGAAAAGAGGAAGACGAAAGAACACATTACGCCGAGAAATGGAGATAGACATGAGAAAAATGAACAAGAATTGGATGGAACTAGAAAAGAAGGCCCAGGACAGAGTGGGTTGGAGAATGCTGGTCAGCGGCCTATGCTCCATTGGGAGTAACAGGCGTAAGTAAGTAAGTAAGTAATATCCCAATGAGTAGAAAAATTAGATTTTCTGACGTTTCGTGACTCAATGTAAACCACTTCTTCAGAGAATAAATAATCAAATAAAAAAAACTGATTTGGTTATCTATTCTCTGAAGAAGTGGCGTACAATAGGTCACGAAACATCAGAAAATCTCATTTTTTTTTACTCATTGGGATATTACAAATATGTTATTTATTTATACCAATTTATTCAATGCTCAGTTTATTCGAAATTATCAAGTCAAACCTTGATAACGGTACCTACAATAATTGTTTAGGTTGATATTTGTAAAATAGATAAGATTATTAATATTTTTTTAGTATAATATATAACAAAAAGAAAATCTAGGAGGTTTATGAATATAAATAAGAACGTGTCAATTTAACTTGCTCGATTATAATTGTAATTCATTGAACTGTTGATCACTTTAAATGAATACATAACATTCATATTGTATTCTGTGTCTATCGGATGAGATTTACTTTTAAAGACCATAGTTTCCTCGAAGGTGTAGGTTTTATTTTTAGGGATATGTCTTATAGAAAAAGTAAGTGACCATCTATCTGTCCTTCTAGTTTACATACTTTTAAATGTACATGTAAATAATATGTAATCTGTATTTTTGTTGTTGTATTTATATATCAGTCAGTCAGTCAGCTACAACGTAGGACCAGGCACATATATGCATCGTTCCAAGTTGCCATACCTCATTAACACAACAAGAATGGACAGCGGATTCATAAAAGTAGTTAGTTCAGAGGTGGTAATATATAAAAGAAAGATTGCATATAAGGATAAAGTACAGGAAGAAAGAATTAGTTCGTAGAAAGAAAGATACCACTGTAAATGTTTGTTATAATCGCTTCATATTCTTTTTTTGGATAAAATCATGTTTATCTATTAAATGGTGTTTTATAAAGGAATATTATATCATTATAATTACATCTTTTTATATTGGTAATAATTATTTGTATAATTTCAGATTACTTGAAGGTATTCTTCGTTCGATAAATAATTTACAAGAAAGATTTCATCAATCATTTTGGTATTATTTCCTCCCTAATCCATATCGATATATTTCAATTGGTGTTTATATGCCACCAGTTTTGATCATGATTTTAAGCCTTTTATTAAAGGTTAGTTCTTTAAATGTTTTGATTTTACTTAATCATACTACTTATGAGTAGCTAGTAAGTTGTTATGATTAATTAACGGTGATTTACTTATTTACGCCTGTTACTCCTCGTGAAGGTGCATAGGCCGCTCACCAGCATTCTCCATCCAACACTTTCCAGGGCAATCCTTTCCAGCTCTTTCCAGTTGTTACTCATCCTTTTCATATCTGCTTCTGTTTTTCGACGTAATGTGTTCTTTGGCCTTCCTCTTTTCCGCTTCCCTTCAGGATTCCAATTTAGGGCTTGCCTCGTGATTTAGTTTGATGATTTGCGTAATGTATGTCCTATCCATTTCCATCGTCTCTTCCTAATTTCTTCTTCATCTGGAAGCTGGTTTGTTCTCTCCCACAGAAGGCTGTTGCTGATGGTATCCGGCCAATGGATGTTGAGTATCTTGCGAAGACAGCTATTTATAAATACTTGCACCTTCTTGATGATGGTTGCTGTAGTTCTCCAAGTTTCAGCTCCGTACAGCAGAACTGCCTTGACATTCGTATTGAAGATTTTGACTTTGATATTGGTTGAAAGTTGTTTTGAGTTCCATATGTTCTTCAACTGTAGGAATGAGGCCCTTGCTTTGCTAATCCTTGCCTATACGTCTGCATCTGAACCTCCTTGTTCATCGATTATGCTTCTCAGGTATGTGAAGGATTCTACATCTCCCAGAGTTTCTCCGTCAAGAGTGATTGGATTGCTGTTCTCCGTGTTATATTTGAGGACCTTGGTTTTCCCCTTGTGTATGCTGAGGCCTACTGATGCAGAGATTGCTGCTACACTGGCCGTCTTGATCTGCATTTGTTCGTATGTATGCGATAGGAGGGCCAGGTCATCTGCGAAGTCCAAGTCGTCCAATTGATTCTGAGCTGTCCATTGTATTCCGCGTTTTCTCTCAGATGTCGAGGTCTTCATAATCCAGTCGATCACCAGAAGAAAGAGGAAGGGAGAGAGTAGACAGCCTTGTCTGACTCCGGTCCTTACTTGGAATGCATCTGTCAGCTGTCCTCCATGCGCGACCTTGCACTGTAGTCCGTCATATGAGTTCCGGATAATATTGACGATCTTCTCAGGAACTCCGTAGTGTCGAAGAAGTTTCTATAACGTTCTCCTATCCACACTGTCAAGTGCCTTTTCTTAATCAATGAAGTTGATGTACAGTGACGAGTTCCACTCAATTGATTGTTAGACGATGATCCGTAGTGTCGCAATTTGGTCTGTGCACGACCGACCCTTACGGAATCCAGCTTGTTGATCTCGAAGTTGGACGTCTACTGCATCTTTCATCCGGTTCAGCAATACTCTGTTAAAGACTTTCCCTGGTACTGACAGTAGTGTAATACCTTTGTAGTTTTCACATCTGCTCAGGTCTCCTTTCTTTGGAATCTTGATGAGGTGTCCTTCTTTCCAGTCCATCGGCACTTGTTCCTCCTCCCAAATCTTCTTAAATAGAAGGTAAAGCATGTTTGTAGTTACTTCGATGTCTGACTTCAGTGCTTCAGCTGGTATGTTGTCAGGTTCTGCTGCTTTCCCTCTGTTGATTTGTCTGATGGCCATTCTGATTTCTTCCGTCGTTGGTGGATTGACATCTATAGGAAGATCTGTGTGTGCTGCTTCGATGTCCGGTGGATTCATTGGAGCCGACTTATTCAGGAGTTCTTCGAAGTATTCTACCCATCTGTTCCGCTGTTGTTGAATTTCAGTGATTGGCCTGCCTTTGTTCTTGACCGGTCTCTCTGGCTTACTGTATTTCCCTGCTAGTTTCTTCGTTGTATCGTAAAGTTGTTTCATATTTCCTTCCCTTGCAGCTTTTCCGCCGTTGTTGCTAGTTCTTCCACGTATTTCTTCTTGTCGGTTCTAATGCTTTTCTTCACTTGCTTGTTTGCTTCTATGTATTCAGCTTGTGCTTGGACTTTCTTTGTTCGTGTTCGGCTGTTGTTAATTGCTGCCTTCTTGTTCTTTCTATCTTTGATCTTGTCCAGTGTTTCTATAGAGATCCATTCCTTATGATGGTGCTTATTTAGACCCAGCACATCTTGACACGTTGAAGTTAGTGCTTCTTTGATACCTTTCCAGCTTTCCTCCATAGTAGTCTCTTCTTCCTTCAGTAGATCCTGTAAGGCTTGGAACCTGTTGTTGAGAGCTATCATGAATTCGTTGAATTTGTTAGTATCTCGAAGGAAGGCTGTATTGAACCTTTGTAGTGCTGTTTGTCCAGTTGTCCAGTTCTTCTATAGCTTCAGTTTTAAATTGGCCACAACTAGGTGGTGATCTGAAGCTATATCAGCTCCTCTCCTGGTTCTCACATCTTCCACTGTCCGGAATTTTTTGTTGATGCAAATATGGTCTATCTGGTTCTCTGTAGTGTGGTTCGGTGAGATCCATGTAGCTTTGTGTATACGTTTGTGTGAAAATATTGTGCCTCCTATGACGAATTTGTTGAATGCACACTGATTTGCAAATCTTTCCCCATTTTCGTTTCTCTCTCTCAGTTCATATCGTCCCATAATATCTTCATATCCAGTGTTGTCTATTCCGACTTTGGCATTTCGATCTTCCATCAGAGTGGTGAGGTCCTTTCTTGGGCACTTCTCTATGATTGACTGCAGCCGCCCGTAGAATTGATCTTTAATGTCGTCGTTGCTATCATTGGTGGGTGCATAACATTGGATAATACTCATTGTGATCCCCTCCTTCTTTGTTTTGAATGATGCTTTGATGATTCTGGATCCGTGAGATTCCCATCCTACAAGTGCATTTCGTGCTACTTTGGACAGCATCAGAGCAACTCACTGAGTGTGCGGAGCATTGTCCTCTTCGTGACCGGAGTATAGCAGCATCTCTCCCGTAGCTAGCCTTTTCTGCCCAGTTTGGGTCCAGTGGGTTTCGCTGATTCCTAGTACTGCTAAGTTGTATCTCCTCATTTCCGTTGCTATTTGACTGGTCTTCCCGGTCTCCCACATTGTTCGGACGTTCCATGTACCTATTAAAATTTTTGCTCTGGTTGTTAGAAGGGGCATCGGCCTCGTGGCTTCCGAAGGAACTCGGCTTTCACCATGAAGCGTCATAATTCTTCTAAATGAAGATCTTCTAACTTTCAGGACAGAGTTTAAATGGTTTGAATAATTTTTTCTGGTAAGCGTTTTTTTAGCGAGTTAGTTTTCTACGGGATGGGGACGCTAACCCCATGCCCAACCCTCCTTTAACCGGGTTTGGGACCGGCAGTAGCTCTGGAAGAGCTACAGGCGGAGTTTAACGGTGATTAGTTATGATTTTATAGTATATTGAACTGTTGTTAACTTTTTTCTTTATACTAGTTCCCAACAATAAGAAATAAGATACAGATTTAATAAATTGGTAATTAATTTTAATCGTCAGAGTCTAATATTCTTATGACGATAGGTGTGTTGATGTCACTTTTTACGTATGTGGGGCACATGGCTCTGATGTCGAGAGAAGACTTCCATGTTGAATAAAGTATCATGTTTTGAACTGATAGCAATCAAGTTGGAGTTTACTTTTAATGTGTATAACTTCAATATTTGGTTTATTCCCGACTGTCTTTCAGAGTTAAGACGATATCTTCCATATTCCAACAAATAATGGACACCATTTTACAGGATATCCGAGGTAATCCAGGTTATTCGGATGATATAATCATAAGAGTTGATAAAATGCATTACTTAAGCAACTTGATCTTGCGCTATCACATATAGTTGAATATAGCCAACGTCTCCTTACAGAAAAGTGTGAATTTTGTGCACATCAGGTGGAACATATTGGGTTCAGAATAGATAAAGACGGAAGATAGCAAAACCCAGAGAATATTAAAGCAGTATAAACTACGCTGAAATAACGCCAAATTATTAATCGATTGTCATTTAAAAACTAGATGTTAACGTTGCTCATAGAAAAATAATTCTGTTGACATTATTTGAAACTTACTCTTTCATGCCATAAGATCATACTGAAAACATCGTCGTTGATCTTTCGATTCTCTGTTCGTAATAATTTCTGTTCTTTAATGAAGTATTTTGATGTAACTTACCAAGGGTTATGTGGATATAAAGTATTCACTGTAGTTTTTATCTGTTAACTTGTCTTTCCTTAAAACATAAACTCTCTCTCTCTCTTATTATTATTATATAGTTTTACCATCATTGTATCATCGTTGTGTTTATTAGTCACTCAGTCTACCTAGGTATGTTAGATTCACTCTCGTGTCTGCCTATTATATGCACCATCAGCTGTGTGAGCCTAAACAAAAAACTTTGGTACAAATTTTATATTAGCGTATCATTCATTTACTCGATCGATACATCTGTTAATACATCATTCCCTTTTATTTACCGTATTTCTCAAAAACTTATAATTTTTTAGCCAGTTCTCTTTTGGATGTTATTAAATCAATCCGATTCGGATAATAATAATGATGATGATGATCAAATGATGATGAATAAAAAAATAGACTCGTCTATATTAACCAATTCCAATTCATCTCAATTAGATAATCATCATATTGAGAAATTAGTCGATGATAATACTCAATTAATTAATAATAACCAAACAATTCGTCAGCGTAATCAAAAAAAGTCAATCATTGAAAGAAAATCGATTGTGAATGAAAGAAAAAATGATCAAAATGAAAAGGTAACTTTTGATTTTGATCATATTTATAAGGTTTTATATTTTCCTGTTGTACAATATGAAGGACTGTAGTTATTCAGTCTCTGTTAGGAAGTGTCAATCATTGGCGAATTGTGTCGTCTTCACTATTTAGCCACAGGTTTTTATCAAAGCTATGTAGTGGTCATAAGTAGGATTCACAACACGTGTTTTGTTCTATATGGGACTTATGAACTAGATGTATCTTCATCTCAGTATTGGTGTCCTGAACATCAACAACAGAAAAACACAAGCTCTTACAACTAAAATCCACAAGCTAGTGGCTACTTGGACTCTGCACCTCAGTGAATAGTACTTTGGTTTTAGAATTGAAAGGTACTGGGTTCGTGGCGCACTGTGAACATTAACACTAGGATGCCGGTGATTTGAAGTGACGAGTCCCGGGTAAGACAAATTTCGCATCCTAAATTTGGTGCCAATCATCATACAACTTTAATAAAAATTCGTGACTAAATAGCATTGTCGAAGCAACCTACTCAGGCTTTACATATACCAATAGAGACTGACCGAAAACAGTCTTTGTAATTCTCGTGTTTGTGTATTTTTACAATTTTACAACTTAGCTATACCATCGTTGAAAACTAAGAATTATTAGACGGCGTATTTGACCTAGTATTGAGACTCAGCAGTAGATATTCACGACTGAGACACTGGGGATTGAACCCAGGGCCTTTGATCTCATACACAAATGGTTAATCTTTTGACCACTGAGCAGCCATTTAACGGTGTTAATATCTAGCTTCGATTAATTAACAATATTTTACAACTCATCCATTGGCAACGATGACTAGCTGTCATACCTATTTGTCAATAAAAGTTGTTATTATCTCAACCACAACTACTCACGACGGTTTTTACTATCCATTTCCAATTATATTCAGCTTACCGTACTTACTTACTTACTTACGCCTGTTACTCCTCGTGAAGAAGCATAGGCCGCTCACCAGCATTCTCCATCCAACACTGTCCAGGGCAATCCTTTCCAGCTCTTTCCAGTTGTTACTCATCCTTTTCATATCTGCTTCTGTTTTTCGACGTAATGTGTTCTTTGGCCTTCCTCTTTTCCGCTTCCCTTCAGGATTCCAATTTAGGGCTTGCCTCGTGATTTAGTTTGATGATTTGCGTAATGTATGTCCTATCCATTTCCATCGTCTTTTCCTAATTTCCTCTTCATCTGGAAGCTGGTTTTTTCTCTCCCAGAGAAGGCTGTTGCTGATGGTATCCGGCCAATGGATGTTGAGTATCTTGCATAGACAGCTATTTATAAATACTTGTACCTTGTTGATGGTGGTTGTAGTAGTTCTCCAAGTTTCAGCTCCGTACAGCAGAACTGCCTTGACATTCGTATTGAAGATTTTGACTTTGATATTGGTTGAAAGTTGTTTTGAGTTCCATATGTTCTTCAACTGTAGGGATTTTGTCCTTGCTTTGCCAATCCTCGCCTTTCAGCTCACAGCGGATTACTTGAATTATCATTGTCCATTAAATAATGTAGAAGAAAAATGTTAGGTCCACCCATCGTCTGTGAAGGAGTTCATTACTATATATAATGGTTCATTCGGTGAACTATAGCGTTATACTTGCTATGTTAATATTGTGTAGTACTAATACATCTGACTAACTGGTTCAAATTCTAATTAGTAATAATGGTCAAATTTGTGCTATTCATTGTCAACTAAAAATTAATTAATTCAATCGATTAGATTTGACTCTTATAATACAAGAATTTCATCTAGTCATACTGAGTTTGTATATGAATTATGCTGAAGTTGTATTTAGAAATACAAAATGGATCGATTTTTGGTTTGGCTACTGAAACTTTTCTAACTTTTTTTTCTTGTAAATGATTCTCCACGTTCTAATTTTTAAATTATACTAACTAGCATCACGAAATTTTGGTGTAATAAGTACTTACACTATTGGTAATCATGTTACTCATCTATTTCCTGCAGATCTGTATACTCGATGTTGAGCCATAGTCAGTCATAATCAGTGTAGAATCTGGGACTCATGTGCATTGGTTAAAGTTGCCACATTATACCAGCGCAACGAGATGAGGTTATCGAGACAGATTGAGAAATGGAAGTAGTGACAATATCACTTGTATTAGGAAATATTCAGCATAGACACTATGATTCGATGAGAAAGAGTGAATTCATGGATTGAGAGGAGTATAAGAGTTTTAAAACTCAAAGTATATATATATAGCTATTTTACTAAGAGACTTCTCTTTTTTTGCATTTTTACAGCAACTTGAATCTAATTCACCGTTATACTCTAGCGCCACTCCTCCATATATACTATGCTTAATTGTGCGTCTTACTTTATGCTTTTCTACGGGATTTTTACTGCATTCTTCACCTAAGTATTTATTTAAGTTATCCAACTTATTATTAGTTGGCAGCCAGTCAATCAATTCCACTTTTAAGTTGGTTGATATATTTCTAATCGGTATTACTACTTTAATAATTGCCGTCATGATTGTTTTACCAATCCTTATGCTTATCATAAAAAAGTAAGTTCTGTTTTTATTTATTGTTTTTCTTTCAAAGAAAGTGTGTAACTAATATCTGTTTTATATGAAATTGTCAATCAGTCGTAATTACTTTGGAGCCTGGTGCATATATGCGTTTGTCTGATCGTAGCCGCTATCCTGACTTGATTGTGAAACTTCAATATCGTAATCATCCAGTCAAGTTATTTTGTTTGAGAAGTTCGTTTCCCTAAGTCCAACCATCCTATACAGTTTGGTTAAAACGCAGTAAGATCGGGGACAGAAAATTAAGTTCTGAGGGCGACGTTGTATTACTGGTTGTACAGGTATATAACCTCAGTAAGACATTGGTCTCAAGTAGCGTCTGCACTGATGTTAACTTCTCGCAACGAAATAGTGGTTTATAAAATCTTGGGCCTGGAAACGGCACAACTCATCTTACTCGAGGGATTTCCATTGTCGGCGTTAAAGCTTTCGGAGTATGGAACTAGTACGTTTGAAAATAGTCACAAGAAGCCCACGTGTTACGAACCTCAAGCAGTTCTTCCTTGGGCTCTGAGGTCACGCCAATAGATCATAAAGATCACCCTTAACCCACTTTCCATTTTAGGCGCCTTAAGAACTAGTATCCTTCTATGGTGTTGACAACTGCCACCATACCTCTAAAAACACTTGGTATGGAATTGTATGCTAACTATAAAATTTAGATGAAAAGTCAACTTCTGTAGTCCCCATTTTCTGATGCTTCACATTGAGATGGCTGTAAATTTCAACTGTCAGTATTCGATCTGTAACTAACCAACAGCTGAAAATTATATGACACTAACATAATCAACCAGTACTAATACATGTTCTTCAAGATATCAACTTCCATATTTATTAGATTCAATCATTCATACTTTTTGTATCTGTAGTTTATGTGAACATGCATATATGTATAATCAGCTACCTCAGATGAGTGTTGAGGAACCAATGCAGGTTTTTAATTACTAAGTTTGTCATATGAGTATTTTTTTAGGTCGAATACCTTCTAAGCATTTGCTACATTAGTTGTAAGGTAATGTTTGAAGATCAAGGATTTTGATTGGGTTTTTCATTCCAGTTTGGAACTCATCAGTGTTGACCTGTACTATAAAACACTCTCGAAAAAACCAAATTACATTTAACTAATATCAAACAGTTTTCACTAACTGGGGAGCTCAAATAATTCCAGTTAGCCTTTTGAAAGCATTGAGTAATAAAATCGTGATATTTAAGCCAGTCAGTTAATCATAATGTTGGAACTGCTGCAAATATGGATTAATCAAGATTGTTATTTGATAGCACGATCCAGTCCAGTGACTATGGAATGATGCTAAGCTTTTGTTTACAAACCAATAGCCTTTGTTCAACTCACTTTTATTCTAGCCAGTATGACAAGTTGAAGTAGGTAGCTGTTGAGCCTTACAACGAGCCTTTAACCCTTAGACCTCTGAGTTAGTATCTAACGGTCTACATTTCTAACTTTTGTTGATTCGCAATATATCACAATGATCATCTAATCGCATCGATGATGAGTGCCTTACTCTTGACATGGTTTAACTTCACCAGTTACAGCTTCTCACTAAAAATTCAGGAACTCATCTCGAAACAAATAAATAGTAAGCACATTATTGTATCTTTGTTTGATGGTTTTGTAAGGATTAGTTATTTGAATTTTGAAGTGTGAAGCATTAAATTCAAACTAAGCATTTTAAATGCCAAATATCTATCACAAGAGGTTATATTTCCTAGATTTTGATATTTGACAAGTTCGTGAGTGTACGTTTCTGAGAAGTCCCATACTATGATGAAACATTTATTCAATGTTTTCTAACTTTTAGTAATATCCGAAGCTGGTGTCATTGATCCCTTGTAAACAATCGTCCATAAAAATTTGTTTTCATTAAAAAATTATCCTCTCCTGTCATCATGGTTTTCCACTGTCTAATTTTTTCCTATTGATTTTCTCATATTTCATAGACTTTTGAATTTATATGAAGCAGATAAACAAGATCTTACCGGCCAGTTATGTCTTTTTAGTTGGGCATTATTTTTAAGTTGTTTGACATGCTTAAATATATCATCAGCTGTTGTTCTCGGTATTCCAATTGTTCCTCTGTTAAACTTATTTGTACAGAGAAAAGACAATATCGAAATTAAAAAGTGAGTGTTTTTTTTCTTTGCAGTTTTTAATAAGAACAATTTTGTAAAGTAAGAATTATTTGTTGTTAACCTAATGTGAGCATCGTTGAACTATATATTCATAGTCAGCATGGGGTTATGAATTTCATTGAATGTCTGTAGAATCACGCACCAATCTAAGTTAGACAACCATCGAGAACCTGGGAGCACTGGATGGCCGTTTTGTTCTAGCATGGGACTCCTTAGCAGTGCACATCCACGACTCCGCAACCGGAATTCGAACTTAGGACATTCAGGCTTGCGCACACTGACTGGGGTTAAATATGTACACCATTGAATCCCAGCTTACTCGTTTAGAGGTTAAGAGTTCGCACACAAGACCGAAGGTTCCGGGATCGGTTTCCAGTTGCAGAGTCGTGTATGAGTCATATTCGAAGATAAACCAGTTTCCCATTGCTTTCAGGTTTCCAATGGTTGTCTAAATTAGATCGGCTCGTTATCTCAATATGTACTCATAATTATCACTGTATCATACATAAGCTAAAATAACTTTGTGCATCAGTACTTAAACCACAATTTTTGTGTGATCAATAAGATATCATTGTCAGAAAAATCTATTACAAAATCTATATTAGTATTTGCTCTGTCGTCTCACGTCCACTTTATACATTTGTATTCCTTAGAATTCCTTATAATGTCTGTCTATAGCTGTTAATGAGGATGATATATGTTAAGTCTCTAATAAACCAATATATATATGAAATTTCACAGGTTGAAATCATGAATCAGTTGAAGCTAGACCACCATTGAAAACCTGGAAGCACTGGACGGCCGTTTCGTCCTGGTATGGGACTCCTCAGCAGTGCGCATCCACGATCCCGCACCACGCGGGGCTCGAACCCAGGACCTACTGGCTTCGCGCGCGAGCACTTAACCACTAAACCACTGAGCCGGCATCCAACGGTGTTAATGTCTAACTTCAACCAATCCACGAAGTTGCGCCACCGTACACCATTGTCTTCAGTGAGTTGTTATCTCACAACAGACCGGTTGAACTCCACTGGTAACGGCTTCTCACTAGAACTTCAGGAGTTTTTCCTGAAGTCAGTCACTAGTGAGCAGTTGATTCTTATTATCAGAATGGGTTTTGTGGAGAATTTTAGAAATTTCACAGGTTGAAATCATGAGTCAGTTGAAGCTAGACCACCATTGAAAACCTGGAAGCACTGGACGGCCGTTTCGTCCTGGTATGGGACTCCTCAGCAGTGCGCATCCACAATCCCGCACCACGCGGGGCTCGAACCCAGGACCTACTGGCTTCGCGCGCGAGCACTTAACCACTAGACCACTGAGCCGGCATCCAACGGTGTTAATGTTAATGTGGATGCGCACTGCTGAGGAGTCCCATACCAGGACGAAACGGCCGTCCAGTGCTTCCAGGTTTTCAATGGTGGTCTAGCTTCAACTGACTCATGATTTCAACCTGTGAAATTTCTAAAATTCTCCACAAAACCCATTCTGATAATATATATAAAACATAAGTTTTATATGTGAGAAATCTCGATAGGTCTAGGACTGCTAGAATAGAGACTGCATAAAGGCGCTTTGAGTAGCTAAGCGCGTTAGGTAATGTCATTTGTACATGAAGTTCCCAATTATATGTGTAGACAATATAAAAAGAGACTGATGGATTGATTCGAGCCTCATTACTCCACGCACTTCGATTTGAGCAACTATACATCCACCGATCTGCCGCATGCATAACCTGCGCCTCAATATTCTGTGGATTATTTCATGCTTCGTAAAATTGATTTGCACCATGCATGTCAGACTGCAGCTCCAAAATGGATTGAGTTCTTAAAGTAACACAAATCAAGTAAATACAGACATTAGTTATTGTAACTGTTGATATCGATTTGAATGTTACTTTTTAGAAAAAAGTATTTAGAAATCAGTCACCGGTTGATAATAATTCCCGTTTGATGTCAATAAAGTGATTGTCAAATCTAACTATTTAGAGATCTTTTCATAATAATAATAATAGTAATGAATTAATTAAAATTATACACGTACACCATTGAATGTCGGCTCTATGGTCTAAAGGTTAAGTGTTCATGCACAAGACCAAATGTGCTGCAGTCGATTCTCAGTTGCGGAGTCGTGGACGCACTTTGCCGATGAGTTCCATACTAAATCGAAATGGTTGTCTAGTGCTTCCAAGCTTTAAGCGGTGACCTAACTAGTATAAATGCTTGATATAAAATCTATGAAAATACTACTACTAATAGTAATAATAATATTTCTGTTCACAATCCTTTATTCCAGATCATTTACAATGAAACTAGTAAAATGTTTCACTATCATTGGCTGGTTAATTACATTTACACCGATATTAATTATTGTAATGTGTATCATCAATTCTAGAATTCAACAACAACATTATCCAATAAGTGTAAATGCTGTTCGAAATTGTTATGAAAAATGCATTTTACAAAGTTTGATTGAAGCAGATTTATTTGGTTGTTGGACATGGCCAGTTATTACATGTGGATATACATCATTATGGTTATTAACATGGTTAGCTATTTTCTGAATAACGATCATAATGTTAAAAGAATAGAACATGGAAACATGCATGAATTGTTATTGTGCAAAAATATATCACATAATTCTGATATAAACTTTGTCTTCTCATTGCATTATGGAAAATTAATTGTTATTGTTGTTTCATTTTTCTTATGTATATTTTTCAATTATCCATTTATCAGTTCATTTTTGTATCTAATATATATGTATTTGTAATAAATCGTATTCAGTTGATGTGTTTTCTTTTGTTTGTGAAGTTTTGTCTTAGATTTTATAAGTCTCATCTAAAGATAAAACTTTTGCGGGTATATACTCTACAACGCCTTTGTTTTCTTTGATTGAGATCACGAACCGATTGATGTTAGACTACCTTTGGAAACCTGGAAGCACTGGACGGCCGTTTCGTCCTGTTGTGGGACTCCTCAGTAGTGCGAGTCCACGATACCGCTCGTGGAGTTCGAACCCAGGGTCTTCGGTCTCGCGCGCGAACGCTTAACCAACTGTACCACTGAGCCGGCATCCAATGGTGATAGTGTCTAACATCAACCAATTCACGAAATTGCTCGACCAGCTTCCGTTGTACTGAAGTAGATACCTGTCTCTACTCGACATGGATTAGCTCCACTGGTCACGGCTTCTCACCTTTGTTTTCGTCAACAATTAGTTCAGCTCAAAATTTGGTGAAAATGCATTTTGTTTAAATACAGAAATATTCTGTATTGTATTTAGTCGGAATTTGTTATAACCTGTGTGCCCTGCTAATGTACAACGTAACGATACCGCTAATTAGTGAGCAGTGACTTATCGGTCGGACCAATGACGCGTAAACCCGTATGAGCAGTCTAGAGTCCTTATTGGTCCCACTCCCTGTCTAGCCCAGCCAGTTAAATCCAGAACACCAATCCGAGCCTCTGCGATATGAATCGTGTATTTCAAACACGCTCGGTCTATATACCAATCAGACAGACCACATCGTACCAATAAAATACGAAACAACATTTGTACAATAATTAGCCAAATGTGGCTGTGAATGAGGGAGGTATTAATTAATAGACAGGGCATAATTCAATAATAGTAGATCGTATAATAATAGTTCATAGGTCAAAATAAAGCTCATAATAAGAAGGAAATGAATATGAATAGTTTAGTCATTTAACAATTATATGATGGGGCATAACAGAATTACTTAGCAAATAAAACTTATTATGTAGATTTGATATTCATTGGCTATGTTGATCTATTACAACTTTCAAAGATGATTCCTTAAAAGTGTAAACCACTGGTGTTAATGATGACTACTATTTTGTAAGATTAGGTCAGTAGTCGCTTAATGTACTGGTTTACTGTTATTGAGTTTCAAATAGAATGAGACGCTCGTCTTAGATCCTACTATTCGTCTCGTTTCATATGTAATCGATAACATTTAGTCAGCATTAAATAATTAGTAGTTCGACAATGATTATCTTTAAACAATTATTCATAATGAGGATTGATCATTAAATGTTAATCATCTGCTTGAAAATCTTTCCTTTTCCGCACATAATAGACCATTTTGGTGAAAATGAAACTTTTTATTGATTATAATAGGAGTATTAGTAGTAGAGTTATTAATTGTTCCTAAATAAATATAATTCTTTATTGAGTGTTAGTACAGATTTAGGTTCGAATACTCATTTAGGCTATCATTGTATTTGCATAAACAAGGTTATAATTGGCCTAGTTTTTTCAACTATTTAGTCTGAGATATGGTCATCTCCCAGATGAACGGAAACCAGCTGTAGGACAAATGAAAACGAGATTAATGGTTAGTTTTTCTTGTCTAAACCGCCTTAGTGATACGTTTTATCTTCGTAACCAACGGTTAGAGACTTTTTGTAACGTGGGTCAGAATCATCCAATATGGCACAAATGCACTCACTCTTCACCCTTTATTAGAACCTAGGTTTCCAAATTGTCTTAGTTTTTTACAACTTATGAACCCATATTTTCGCCTACAATCATGTTTCCTATGTTTAGTCATTTTTACTACTTTGGGATTTAGCTTGATGACGTCATCTCGCTATGTTAATGCTATGCGGCCACTTGAACGGAATCACATATGTACAGGGTTAAATGTTCATATGGCTGACTGATTGCACACCGAATTGTTTTATCAGTGAAAATCTAAGCGCGATGTATTAATTTTATGCGTTAACAATTCGTTAATTACTTAAGCAAATTACAGTTTTAATCAAAATGAATATAATGTTAACGCTGTATTACATATAGTGAGGTTCAACCAGTTACTGCTACTAGTTAGTTGTCACTTTGATTACAGTAACGGAAATCCAGTAGTTTGATTAATCACAACATATTTAGTTGTTTATTTCAGTTACGTCAGGTTAACTGCAGACAGAGATTATTCATGCAGAAAAGTGGAAAACATGGTATATTCAGAGATTCTTAATGATAACATGAAAAATATCATATTGGTAATTTAATTTGTCTAGGATATAATGTCAATCCGATTGGTAACTGAGTTGACTACAAATCAAGATGACTCACTAGAATTTCATAGAATCCACTTTGATTTTAGTCACTAGTAAGCACATAATTATTGTTAAGTGATTTTTAGAAGTTTCTTATTTTTCAATTTCAATCATATGACTTGGTGAGTCATTACCAGTTGTTACTATTATAATTGATAATTTGTTATTTATTTATTTATTTAAACACAAACATTGGTACAAGGAGGCACCAAATACATATGCGCCACATAAATCATTCAATTTGTGTGAGGGCTGTGATACTGCCCGGGTGCCCAGACCGAAACAGGTGGTTTTCTTAGGGGACCATACCCCGAGTCTTTGACCTAAAGGTCTGACCCATAAGGCAGTGGAGCATCGTGAGGAGATGCAGTCCCATGGTAGCCGGTGACCAACCATTGGTTCATACGCCATTTGTTCCCGCAGGATACTGGAGCCCATGTGCACCATTGGTTTGGAATCCGGTTAGAGCGCCGGACATTCGCTTTTGGTCCTCTCAATTTCGTAAACAACAGCCCCGCCACGAGAAGGCAGTGAGTAGGACTTCCCTGGCAGGGGCTGTATACGCGTGGCCGTGTGAGAGTATTTTGAGAGGGAGGACGGGCCCACCCCACTCTCGGCTATACCAGGGCATAATTGACAATTGATAATAATTTATACTGTGTTTATATGAGGCGGAACTGGTGTGAATAATACGAACGTAGTAAGAAATCACAGTAATGTACCACATGAATTTTGAATGAGACAGATACAATAAACCAAGTTAATTCTTATTCATTTAAAAGTTCATTTTTTTTAACCAATCGAACACCATCTAATCATACTCAATATAGATTACTTATTATATTGATCTGCATATTTAATTAAGTTTACGGTTTATTAAAAGTAAGTGCTAAGGTAACACACGTTGGTATTTGGTTAAATTAACTTCTACCATTTTGTTTTAAAACTATTAATCATTATTTATAAAATCTTTCAGATAAATAATTAACATGTTAATGGTGTATGATACTTAGCGTTATTCAAGGACAGTTCAGTATTCAAAATATACAGTTGAGTTCTGTTATGTATCAGCTTTATTTAGATTAACTGTTTTCTCTAATATATCAAGAATATTCTTTTGATTAATGTCGGAAGGATTTTCGTGGATATTATAGTAATTTTAATGGTTGGGATCATGAGTCAGTTGAAGTTAGACTATCATGGAAAACCTGGAAGTGCTGGACAACCGTTTCGTCCTACTGTTGGACTCCTCAGCAGTACGCATCCACGATCCCGCCTCGCGAGATTCGAACACAGGACCTTTCAGTCTCGCACTCGAGCACTTAACCTCTAGACCACTGGGCTGGCGGGCATCAACGGTGTTAATGTCTAACTTCAACTAATCCACGAAATTGAGCGACACATCCACCGTTGGATGCCGGCCAGCTCAGTGGTCTAGAGGTTAAGCGCTCAAGTGCGAGACTGATAGGTCCTGAGTTTGAATCTTGCGAGGCGGGATCGTAGATGAGCACTGCTGAGGAGTCCCATACTAGGATGAAACGTTAGTCCAGTACTTCCAGGGTGGTGTAGCTTCAATTGAATCACGATCTCAACCATTGAAATATTCTTTTGAGTTAATTTTGAACTTATGTGAATAAAAGTAGAGGGTATAGAATTGTCCACTGCCTAGTTGAGGTCCGCGCAATCATTGAAACCCATGGTTAAATACATTGGGTGAAATGGCTTATAATCTGCAGCAAATGCGTTGATGGATTCTATCTTTGTCTAAATATACGTATACTTCCTATTCATCAAACTCATCCCTTGTATATTCACGCCTAATCTTTTCTACTACTAATCTCAGATTGACAAAAATAATTTTACTTCGATTTGGTGTTATAACGTAGTATTTTGAGTCGATGCATATATAAGCAAGGTTTTACATCGCTCATGACTCACTACTATAAACTGTTTCAAGAAATGCCTTTCTGAAGTGAACCACATATTATTCGATGCAACATGAAATTGTCGAATTTTAAGAACATAGTATCGTATTTACGTCGAGCTATTTTCTCAGTATCCTACATATTCGAAATTGATGAATTATTCTGCAGACCGGACATCGACTTTTACTTCGAGTATGAGCAGCTCCACAGTATCTACGGAATTTGTCACCGATATTCTTGATATAAAACAATGAATTATACCCGAGGAAGACATAATCAACATATTTCCCAACTTGGAAATTCGATGAGGCGTAAACTATCTCTAACATCTCATGAACATCGGCATCAGACCTGTAGGTGTGCAGATCAGTAATTTGAGATCCTACTAATTTGAATCACATCTAAAATACATATCAATCAAAACCCTTCTACTAGTATCTCGCTCCAGTCAACATTAAATGTTGAGAAAACCAGTGAGCAAGAAGGCGCAATCGTATTAACCAACTGATATTCCTCTAGTGGTTTCCTCTCCAGAGACGAGTTAAACTTTCAGCAGCCTAATCACAAAGCTCAGTTCTGAGATAAGATATCGAAAATGATTTGCCTTGATGAATGAGAAATTTATTGACTATCAATGCTTTTCGTATCTATCCTGAAATATGATACGAAAACTAAATTTCGAAACTGAAGGATAACATAAGAACTTTGACTTATTGAAGGCGACAAAAGTACTTGCGTTCACATTAAAAGGTAATCTGTAAAATAACTTAAGGTTATGTAA